TGATGACTGTTGTAGACTATTCTTTCTTTTGTTTTAAAGGAAAAATCTCTTGTTCATGTGAATTGGTTAAAAATTGTAAAGAAAGGACACATGGGTGGCTCAGTTGATTGAGCAGCTGCCTTTGACTAGGGTCATGGAGTCCTGGGGATTGAGTCCCACATCAGGCTCCCTGCTTGGCAGCAGGGGTGGGGTGCGGAGGAGGGGGAAGTCTGCTTCTCCCTCTGACCTTTTGACCTTCCCCTTCTTACGCTCGCTCACTCTCATTCTCTCGCTCAAATAAATAAAATCTTTTTCAAAAAATGGCAAAAAAATATTTAAAACTTAAATTCCCTTCTATTCTTTCTTGTAGATATCTAGGATGGTTCTACAGCCTTGATTAAGACCTCTTTAGTTACATGCACCTGGTTTTTATAATGTCCACATTTTCTTGCCTAATAGAAGGGGCCAAAATGAAAACTTTATATGTAGATGCCTCTGTCATTAACCCTTTTTTCTTTGGTAGTAATATGCAAAATACTAATTTTAGAGATACGAAAATGGAGAGAGAGTTATGACAAAAATTTTTATAGGATTTTCATCTGATTAATTGTTGTTTCCTGATATGTGATATAAAAATGAAAATGAAATAGAAATTTCTCAGGTTGCAGAAATTTTCCTAGTTTGCTGGAATTTTTGCGATAATATACAAATTATAATCTTTTACCTCGATGGCCCTAAACTTTCTGATCAAGTCAGACAGAAATATGTCTGACTATCCAAACAGAAAAATGGTTATTTGATTCCTAAATATGCAATAGGCAGTCTGCCTTGGCAAAAGACAGGTTGACAAAACAACGTACAGATTTCATCCAACTTGATATTCTGGTGCCTACTTTGCTGACCTAAAGAATTACTTACGATGGTACTGCAACAGGATAGCAATTCTGTAATGAATTCACTGGAGAATGGTAAATATCACCAGGAAAATTCTCAGATCTCATTCCACTCATTCTGCCAATCTACAGAAATCTGTATCCATGGGAACCTCAATCCCTATCAGGAAGTGTGCACTTGATACCAAAAAGGGTAAGAATTTTTCCTGGAACAGGAAAAAAAAAGAAAAGAAAAGAAAAGAAAAAGAAAGAAAGAAAGAATGCTGCTGGAAATTAAAATGATAATTTTAATACTATAGAATATATTAATTTCTACGTGGAGGTAGCCTACAGAGATGATAGATGGGAGAGGGATATTTTTGGTGCATTGACCAAGAGGGAAGGACATTAACTGGGCACAACTGGGATGAGTAGCTCTGACTGCATCAATCTGGGGAGAAATGTCAGCAGTTAACAGGATAATCCTTAACCCAGGGATGGGTGATGAAAAGACCACCTTGAAAGTGAAAGGGTAGAAAGCCACTGAAAATATTTTCTCTGGTGTCAGACATTAGTTTATTCATCCACTCATTATTGAACGTGAAGAGCACTAATTATTGAGTCTGAGGCTCAAGTTGGGCATTTAGCTCCATGTTCATAATTTTATCCTTCTGAATTCTAACTGGAAAACTGACCTCCTTTGAAGCTGGTAAGTGTGCCAGAATGCCAGACTGAAAAAGCAAAATGTTCTGTGTAACTATGGAGTCCTTAACCCTTACAAGAAAGGCATTTGATGGGGACGTATGTTATGTGGATATTGATAAATGAAGAGATTTCCAAAAGTCAGAGGGCATAATTAAGAATATTATATTTTCTAATATTCATAATTTTCACTCATGTCCTAAGACAAACAGAAAGGGGATCATTAGAAATTAAGGGTTTGGGGATGCCTGGGTGACTCAGTCAGTTAAGCCATTGCCTCCGGCCCAGGTCATGTTCCCAGAGTCCTGGGATCAAGTCCCACATCAGGCTTCTTGCTCAGCAGGGAGCCTGCTTTTCTCTCTGGCTCTTCCTGCCACTCTGCCTGCTTGTGCTCTCTCTGTCTCTCTGACAAATAAATAAATAAATAAAATATTAAAAAAAAAAAGAAAGAAAAGAAAAGAAATTTAGGGTTTGAATTCTTTTCCTGACTCATTCATTGAGTTGTACCCAGAAACTCCATAAGCAACAAATATTTTAATCCAATGATTCCCATTTGTGATAAGGAAAAGAGAGATATTAATATTTCTCATTCTTCTTGTTTGATAAAAAAACCTTCCAGTTTTTCTAATTAAAAAAATCTTTACTGGACTATGATTTCATGGATATTTTTTAAGTTATCATTCTTATTTCAGCCTGTTGTTTGACTGCAATGCTGGTGACTAAGAGTGGAACTATCCTTGTAGGTGGTATAAACCCTCTCCTCCCTCTCAAGGATTTTTTTTTCCCTACATAAATTAGCATAAATTGATTTTGCTAAAAAAAAATGAATCTTGATTAGCAGGTAAAAGCAATTGTATCATCAGAAGAAGGACCAATCTTTTTGATGCGGTTTCAAGATGTGTATGGATGGGCCACAAATCTGTCACTCTCCTTTAGAAGTTTCTGCTGTTCCCCCACAGAAGAAGGGTTTAAATATAAATATACATTGTACATTCATATTTCCTGATTAGGTTCATTTAACTATGCTTTATAGCACAAACATCTGTTATTGTATTTGCTGCTAGTTTTTCTCATGTATAAGCCCTTATTAGTGGGCTTGAGTCAAACTAAGTCTCGAAATGCTGCCCACTCAGAAATTCACTCAGGGGGACAGATATCATTCTCAGCTCTATGCATCTTGTTCTTATCACATATTTGATTACTACACAGTGGACTTTACTCCTGGGGGAATATTCTCCAAGTTGTATTTTTTTTTTTTTAAGATTTTATTTATTTGACAGACAGAGATCACAAGCAGGGAGAGAAGCAGGCAGAGAGAGACAGGGAGGCAGGCTCCCTGCAAAGCAGAGAGACTGATGCGGGCTCGATCCCAGGACCCTGGGATCATGATCTGAGCTGAAGGCAGAGACTTTAACCCACTGAGCCACCCATGCGCCCCTCCAAGTTGTATTTTTTATTTTATTTTATTTTTTTTTTTACTTACAGTTATTTGCTTTGATCTATGCTGGAAATCTACCTACTTTGAAGAAGAGACCTTGTTTATAGCTCATTTTGAGTAAAGGGTCATTTTTTTAAGATAAAGAGATTATTTGGTAATTGTATAATTTTTCAAGGTATATCTCTTCTTTTGGCATCAGCCCTGCATTCTAAACTCCAGCCTGTGGAAAGCTAACATAGGATCAAATAGACATTAGTTTTTCTAAATGAGACTTATGATTCTTGAGCTTGTGGCTTTTGGAACTAAGATATACAGCTAGTCATTTAGTGATATTTTTAAAGTCTATTTTCTCAACTAAATTATAAATTCACACTTTTATCTGAGAAAAGTATGGTCATAGATGTCACTCTTGTAATATCCACTCTTGGAAGAAAATCACAGTAGCATTTCAACAAAAGGAACTCCCTTTTTTGCGTTTTATTCTCTACATAGTTCTGGAAAAAAGAAATACCTGGATTCCCTAATTCCTTTCTGCTCTGCTTTCTCTTTTAGGGAGTGGACTGTGTCCTGAATAATGACTGTGTGCCGGTGCTGAGTGGAAGGCAAGGAAGACCTATGGCTTTCACCTCCTAGGAAGTTTATATGCTGAGCCAAGGCAACTCAGCATTTTGGAAGAATAAAATAATTCATTACAATAAAAAGTTAGCACTTTCCACATAATTGATATTTATCTATTAAATAAATCCTTCCCCTATACAATTTTGCTTAAAGTACCATCCATACATTATCATATTCTTAACTTTATGCTTTCTTATGTTTCACACATTCTTTTACCCAAACCAGTCCTCCTGGTATCAACTGATATTGAATGTTTGAATTTTACTTCATCAAACTAAGATGACATAGTTGTTGAGATAACTCATTAATGGCAGTGTTGTATGAAGTGAAGTTACAATTATAGTATAATTTTGATAAAGTAGAATAGGGAATGCATGTTCGTAATCTTGTGTGAGAAAAAATGAAACTTAACTCCTCCAAAGAGGGAGGGGCAAGGCAGGGAAAGAGAGAGAGAGAGAGAGCGCAAGCGTGAGCAGGGGATGGGCAATGCACTAGACCCTAAGATTATTATGAAGTCCTTCATGAACTTAATTAAGTATGAGCGCAGTGACTGGAGTTATAAAATGACCCCAATGACTTTTATTTTAAATGTTATTAAAATCACTCCAGCTTCATTCCCATTAACTCTACTTCCTAGTTCAATGATACATTTTATGCAGTTATATTTTATGCAACACCAAAAGGTTTTTCAAACTGGCCTCTTCCTTTTAATTACAATTATAAGCTAATACAAATAGATTTTTAGAGTCACACAGAACTCTTTCTACTTCTGTTATCATAACTTACTCAAGAATATAGTTAGGTGTTCCATTTCCCCAATGGGTCATAACTCTTCCTCCATATATGTATTCTGATGGACCCATCTAAACCTAATCCTCAATATACAAAACTGCTCAATACTATGGAGACCTGAAAGTACATTTATGGCATCAAAACTCACTATAATCTTTATAATGTTAAAAAAAAATGTGTCATTAATCATCAAGACTGAACTTGACTGCTGAGCTTAGTTAGTTTCTGATGTTAACCTAATCAATTGGCAATAGATACAGATACCTCAAGATTGAAAAAAAAAAAATTCATCTCTAGATATCAAGAGAATCACACATGTCTGTCAGGTTAGGCCAGGTAAAGAAAATATAGAGATTAAATGGGAAAATATATTAAGAAGTCTTCCGCTTTCATTGAAAACCAAGTCAAGAACTCATGTCAATGTTTTAATTCAAAATGATAAGGTGAGTGTACTTAAGCTTTAACAGAAGACTAGGACTCATTTGAGTCTCCAATGTTCATTTGGTAGCAAATATAAGATACTGTTTGTGACAGGAGAAGCTGGATAACACCTAAAATGTTCATTCATTCAGCAAGTTCATTCATTCAGCACCTACTTACTAGGTGCTGGCCAGACAGAGATGACAATGACATGATCCCAAATATATGTTGCCTCCAATGTTTCATGTTAATTGTGCATTAAATTCTAAAGGTTAGTGAACTTACAGAATTAATTAAGTGTAAAGTTAAAACTCTGTGTTTCACCAGGACTGTATAATATAGGCACTAGTGTAGAATTGTGGGTTTAGTAGACATGCCGTCCTCTAAATTCACTCATGACTTGCACTGGGTGGATTTTTTTCTTTGCTGAGCCTCGTCTGACAGCTGCACAAGTTTCCTCTGGCTTCTCTCTTTTAATCAAGGGCTTTTTTGCAGGAGCCTTCATTCTCCACATCACAACTGGGTGCCGGGGCCCAGCAGGACTCTGAATTCGGATGATCTTCGTTGAAGCAATGTAAGACATTTTCACTGTTTGCACCACAGCATTCATTAAATTTTTGGCTGCTTGGATCAGGGAGGTGACACTGTCCAACTAGGAGGAAAAAATACCTATTATTCAAGAATGCAATCAGAAATTTAAAGAGATTTAATGTTACAGAAACTGAAATGTTCCACTTTGCTTTCACCCCAGAAATGAGTTAATCCCTATTTTATGTATCTGTGTAAATTATCTACATTAATCCATCCACCTAAATTTATCATTTATTTATCTGATACATAAATATATTCATATTCTCTTTTTTTAAAAAAAGAGTAATATTATTTATTATTTTTGATATGAATATATAGTAGGATTATATAACCAATAGCCTGATGAAGCCTAATGGTTACTATCATAAGATGATATTTTAAAGAGATTAATTTCCATCCTTGGTTTTCAGTTAAATGGATGCTATAACTTCTATATAATATTGTAAGGTCCAGGTCTAGATGGTCACTGCTTTCTTTGTAATGAATCTCCCTATACGCAGAGGTAATTCTGAGCCCTTTTTATAAAAGATGGCAATCCTCAAGAAAAGCAATTGTATGTGTAAGTTGCTTTATAAAAACAACAACTGAAAACCTTCTAGGAAATTTATAGTTTCAGATAAGTATTATACACACACACACACAGCACATACAGGTGTACACATGCATGTATACCATTAACTTCCATTAACCAAATATTTCCCAAATATTTTCACTGAAAAGTGTCTTTTAAAACAGAGAACTTTTAAACCTATCATGCAGTGTATTAAAGTAGATAAAGCCAAGTCTTTTCAATCAAATAAAGTTGAGGTTAAATTCCAGACCTGCCTTAGAACTTGGGCAAATCATTTAACCACTTTCATCCTAGTTTCCTAAAATATTTAGTAGAAAAAGTACTTATTAATGTTAAATAATGTGTGTCAAGGACCTACTATAGTGATTGCCAAAAAGCTGATTGTTATCAAATACATTTCCTTTGTTTCTTAGGAAGACTGACAAAATTGTCTAATTATAAAGATGAAGTACTAAAACAAATGGTTTCCCACATGATTTTGTTTTTAATTTTTGTCTTCTGGATTGTTCACAAAAATAATCTCAGGGAGAAATGGAGTGATATTCATAGAATTTTGCAAAACACTGTAGAGCTAAGCTGAGTTGGTTCATTTTTATACAACTAATGCTTCTGCCATTATTTTAGTTTGGCAGATTGTCATCCCCAGCCAACTCACACAGGAAGCTGTGCCTCCACTGTCACCTCTCTGTGATGTGTGCTGTCAGGGCTGAGACTCAAACACCGGCTCTGTGTTGCTAAAAATCCATCAGCAGCTGCGTGGCCTGAGTACTCTACCTTTGCAGCTCAAGGAGTCTCATCTCACATACAGAATAAATGAGTGAAGGAAAGTAGTAAGCTGAGGTTATGTGCCTGGGGCAGTGGTCTAGCTGGCTGCTTCCTAGGAAGAGAATTTAATTAGCTCCATTATATGCCAAGCCTGAAATTCTTGAAAAGGTAACACCAAAAAATATGTAAATGGAAAGGCAGTAGTACTGGGCAACTACACCTCTTTAAGTCGTTTTACTTACTGAAGCCAGAAATGTAAAAATCTGTGCATGTGGCAGGAATGACAAATACTCTGCAAACATTAAACAGGATTTCATGAAACAGTGACACGTATTTCAGAGGATACTTAGAGCTTTTCAATCTGTACACAGCTTTAAAGAACGAACACTAGACTTTGAATAGAATAAAGCACTTCATTATTAATGTTCTTCTACGGACAGATTAGAGGCTGAAATCTGTCCTTTAATAATTAAAAATTTTTATTCAAAACCCCTGGGAGCCAGTTTCTGAAAGTAGTTCCTAATCTCACCATAAGGAGAAGAAAATTTTTCTAAATGATGAATTAACATGAATAGTATTAAGGACCCTTGGTAGATTTCCCTCTCAAACATGAATATATCTGATTTACTCCAAGGGCTCTGTGCTACCATCAAGTCTTTCTTTCATAGAAGAACATTCTAGAGACCTGCTATCATTCAGAATTTCATTAGTGGCTTTGGCTTCTCTACCTTCTTGTCTTCTTACATGCATGTCTCCTCTTTTTGACTTTGTAATCTTATCACATGATATACCAGTGGTATATAGAAATCAGTATTTTAGAGAGGATGTTTAAGATCAATCCTTGCCTTAAAATGTAGATACTGGTTTGTCTTCTTTCTTCATTGAATCAGCAAAGCCCTGTCTATGCCATTGTGATCTCTCACGTGGATCTCTGACAAAGCCTTTTATTTTAAAATTCTAAATTGTTGTAGTAAAACTTCTCCTCTGGGTGACCCAGAAAAACCATAGGACCAATTATGCCCCTAGGAGAGTGTGAAGACTAGTTTTGTAGACAAATTAGGACAATTGCTACAAGAATGCTGCCATTTCATGAGGAAAGCTTGCCATGCATTCTATACGGATCTTTGAAATCTAAGAGCTATGTGTGCTAAGATGCATCACTCTGCTACTAGCCAAATCACTGGCCTCACAAGCAAGGTACACAGACAAGCCTAAAAAATTGTAGGACATTCTGTTCGAGGTCCAAGCAGTGGTGCAAGCTTACTCATGGAAAATAATTGCATGATTTCCTTGTCTGCAAAATTTTTTTATAAGTTTTCTTATCCAGGTCCACTTTGATAAAAAATTCTTTCAGGGAAGCATTCAATAGTACCTTCTTTGTGAAAACAAAGTCAAATTTGAGCTGGACAGTGCATCACTTTGGGGTTTCTGTGTTCAACTTATTGAACAAAGTTTTCTGAATTTTACAAATGCACCCGTGAGAGACAAGAATGTTTAATATACTCTAAAGGCTTAGTACAGGAAACCAATCAGACTATAAAACTCAGGTCCAAAAATTCTCATACCATCATGAATCACTTCCATTAACTGAACATTCTTTTAGGCGAATGCAACTTAAAATGTGTACCATAGAAGGAACTACTTTCCCTAAGATCTGGTAACATTCCTCTGTGATCTAGATGAAGTGTTCTTGGTCAGAGTATCAACCAAGAACAAAAATGGCTTCTAAGACCTCAAACCTCCTAAGGATTATATGTATATATGTGCATTCAAGTTTTCTAGCCACCCCCTCTTCCATAATAATGGACAAAGTTTTAAATAACTCTTAAAAGAGGATTTTGACCTAAATGAAAGGGCTTTGATTGAAATTGGAAGTCTGTTCTCTTACAACAGTAAATAGGAAAATAACCACCCTTCCTATGCTGGTGACTTGTCCTTATTCTTACAACTCTGGTGTAGCTTGAAAATAACTGTGCTTGGGGCACCTGGGTGGCTCAGTGGGTTAAAGCCTCTGCCTTTGGCTCAGGTCATGATCCCAGGGTTCTGGGATTGAGCCCCGCATCCAGCTCTCTGCTTGGTGGGGAGCCTGCTTCCTTCTCTCTCTCTGCCGGCCTCTCTGCCTACTTGTGATCTCTGTCTGTCAAATAAATAAATAAAATCTTAAAAAAAAAACAAAACAAAAAACCTGTGCTTAGTGGTCTACTAATGTTACAGTAAATTTCTCAATATTATCTATGTACAAACATAAATTAGTAAGCTCTGCCTCACTTTTTTTTGAAAATCTAAATAAATAGAGGAAGACCGTTTGGTAAATTGGCTTTTACCCTAACTGTAAGATATATCTTGCAAACAATCCAAATTATGACGATCTAAATAGAGTCCTATTTTATAGGAATCTTAGTTTAGTTTATTTTAGTGTCTCTGCTGTGCTTTGTGGTATGTATTCTGTGATTCCAGGCTACAGTACAAATTTGTCCAATTCTAAAAACATTCTCAGACAAAAGGTTCAATTCTACTTAGAGATATGTCTATAATGTTTTGCTATGGAAAAGGAGTAGTTCAAAAGCAATAAAGATATTTTCTTTTTCCTCATAAAATATCAATTTTTGTCCATGTGACCACTATACATAGAAAGTACGGATCTTTTTACAAAAACCAATGTTAAATACCTGTGATGTAGTCCTCCATAACTACAAGGTAGAACTCCTGCTGGTAAACCCTTCTCAAAATCCTATTGTGATATTGATAGCCAAGAGTAATTAAAAAAACGAGGTAATTATTCCTTCTTTTAATTTTCTAAGTTTCTCATCTACATTATGTCAGAACACCAGAATGTCTTGTACTATAGTATTCTAACTCCCCATATTATCAAATATGTATTTTATATGAGGATGCTCAGGAAGTGAACCTCACTCCCATTGATGTGGATCTGATCCCCTTGCACCTGGGCTATCACCTGGGGAAATCATCCTCTCCAACCCCTGTGTGAGCTGCCATGAAAGCTATTGCTACTGGAACTCCTGTGGAGGGAAAAACCTGTTGTTGCCTGAAAAGATGTATTTCCTTTCCTAAAACCTCCTGGGTAAACTGGTGCCAAGTGTAGACAATGAAATTCTTGTGAGTCTCAATGTTTACCTAAGCTTAAGACCCCTTGTTGATGTTGCACCTGCACAACACAATACTTGAAAGGCAAATGTGTGGAGTTTGGCTCCAATTATAACAACAACTTATAACTATTGATAATATCTATTGTGTGCTTCCTGTGTATTGGCCCTGTTCTAAGTAGTTGATATATATTAACTCACAGTAACCCTATGCGGTAACTACTACTCCTATCCATTTTATGGATGAGGAAACAAAGGAATTGGAAGGTTTGGTAGCTTGCTCAAGGCAATACAGCTATTAAATGGTAGAGCTGGAATCTAAGCCAAAGCAGTCTTGCGCAAGTACCTGGTGCTCTTACCCATTATATATCCTGCTTTTCAGTAATATGTCACTTTCAATGAGTGTTTATTTTTAGGTATGAGTAGTTGGAGAACTTGCACTAACATTAATATAATGCCTAAAATTAAAAATTGACTACCTAATAATGGATTTGGGGAAGGTTATAGAATTTTTGTAATGTATACTAGTACTAAAAAAAATGAAGTTATCTTACTTGCCAAGGTATTTTGTTAGGATGGTGATTTGATAATGTTTATATTCCATAACTTTTTAAAGAGTTT